ACGTACATGGATTTGCCCCATCCTAAGCTACTCTCTTTTCTGTTTTTATTAATGAAATGAGGAAATTTAAGTATGTGAGTTACTTGCGGGACCTGGCCTGAGTCCCAGAGAGGACTCTACCAGATCAGATTCTCACTGGGGCTTCCTTGGCCTCTGCATCACATACTGTTCCTGCAGCGTCCCAGGCCAAACTTGAGCTCTACACTCACTCACTGGGTGGTCCTCAGTTCCAGCTTCCTCATGTGCTCTCTGAGACCTCATGAGCACAGGGCTGGGCATGCGTTCGTTAGACAAGAGAGGAGGCAATCCTGCCTGCTCAGACCCTACTGGCCTTTCCTCTCCAGGCCATTGAGATCTGAGATGTGCTGTTCACTGTTACAGAATACTACTTTAACTGTGTGAAGGTGGGTTACATTTGTTTACACTGCATTTGTTTAACAATGTAAGGATGTGTTTAATTATGTAAAGGTATGTTGCACTTGTTTCACCTTGCCTGCCTAAGGCACTTGATTTCGGTCTAATAAAAAGTTGAATAGCCAATAGCTAGGCAGGAGAAAGAATAGGCGGGGCTGGTGGGGAGAGAGAATGAATAGGAGGAGCAATCCAGGCTCAAAAGGAGAGGAGGAGAGAACTAGGGACATGTCAAGAGCAAGAAGCTAGGCCGATGCCAGCCTGTCAGGCAGAGAAGCAGTGAAAGATATACAGAAGTAAGAAAGGTAAAAAGCCCCAAGGAAAAAGGTAGATAAAGAGAAACAGGTTTAAAGAGAGCTAGCCAGAAGCGTGCTTAAGCTAGATGGAGCATTCAAAACTAGTAAGTCTCGGCTGTCACGACTTGGGAGCTGGTTGGTGGCCCAAAAGAAAAAGCCTGGTACAGTTCACTGTGGTGGCTTAGAACTGGAGCCCACCTTTGTGGGAGGAGGTGGCAGAGCCTTGGCTTTCCTAGGGCTGGTGTAGCTAGCTGGCACTTGGCTGAAACACCTAACTCTCACTCGATTCTGCTTTTTGTTCGACCATGCCAGCTCGCCTGAGAAGCCATCTTCTCTTTCCCAGCCTCTTCTGCAGCTAGAATGGCCATGTGCCATACTACCTAGCTTTTGGGATACAGGAAGAAACAAGGTAGAGAGCTCTGGCAAAATGTCTGCTTTTCTAATGAAGATAGCGGCGCGCTGAACAAACCTTTGGCCTGGAGCAGCAGCTGCCTGCCACATTCCCACAAGTCAACAACAACCAAAACCAAGACTGTTTGGCTAGCACTGCAGGGTGCCCACCTCTGGGCTGCTTGTGCAGGTGACAGAGCAGCTCTCTGTGAGGTCTGTTACTGTTAGGGATGCACTCTGGATGCACCAAGGGCATGCTTGCTCACCTGGGCATGCTTGAAGATGTGCATGATGAAGATGGTGAGGCCCAGGCCGAAGATGTAGGCAGCGAAGCTGGTGTAGAAGTAGGTGTGGGTGTTCTTCTTCAAGCTTCAAGGAAGGTAGAAGGAAGAGGTTAGAACAGTAACACCCTCTCTGGGGAACCCTGCAGTTGTTATGTGTGTGGGGGAGAGCTCTCGGCTGGGAGCCTGGAGGACCATGTACTGTACTTCCCTGAGTAAAGTCTCTTTATAGGCAAGTTACCTTTCTTTTTTCATGCTCAGCTCATACCTTTGCAAAATGGGAAAGCCATAAGCCCATTTGTAAACAACAAATATAATCTAGAACTGCCAGCAGTAAGATTTAGCCAGCATAAACATCTCTTGGGGCGAGGGGGTGGGCTGTGAAAATCCAGGTTCTAGGTTATCCCCACAGAATGTAAGATTGGGGCAAAGCCTAGCTGGAGACCAAGTCTGGCCCTGTGCATGCTTGGCAAGTGTTCCTTCATGTTCCAGTCCAGCTGTATGTTTAGTTTCTACAATAGCCTGAAATAAGTCTGAGGAGAAAGAGCACAGGGACCAGCTAGATTGAGAAATGATGGCTGCAGCTGGCTTTCCCCAAAGCCACTGAGGTCAGCCTATGCTCAGGACTCAGCAGACCCGAGTGGGAACGCTTGTTTACCACCATGGATGTGAGCTTGAAGCTCCTGAGATCAGAATGGCCACCAAGGGCATAGAGCTACAAGCACCAATCTCAACTAAAAGGACTTAACAACAACAACAACAACGACAACAACAAAATCAAAAGCAAAAACAAACCACTTAAAACTTCAGAATGCAGGTGAAATGAGAATTTCTCTGGATGTGTGGGTGGAGATACCTTCTCTGGGCTCCTGAAAGCTGGGGAGTGTTGGGAGATCCCCAGGCCAGGCCACGCCCTCCCTTGCTTACCTGATGTCAAAACGAAGCAGCAAGGCAATGAAGATCCCTGAAGGGGAAAAGGCAAGGTTAGAAGTCCAGGGATGGGGGTGAGGGTCGGGCATGGGGAGAGGAAGTGGGTTGTCCCTACCTCAGCACCATACTGTGACACAATAGGCCGCCTACTGTTTCCCACTCATCAGGCACAGGGTAGGATCATGCAAAGCTACAGTTCTCAGAGCTCAGCCAAGGCACAAGATGGTAGGGAGAATGACAACAGTTGTAACAGACTCCAATAGGAAATCAAATTTAGGCTTGTTCTAACTGAAAACTGGACTTCTTGTGCCATAAAAGGTGGACTGGGATCTAGACTGAAGAGGGCTTCTTCAAAGTGACACTGGCCAGGGAGAGTGAGGGCATGTTTGGAGGGGCTACAGGAGGGGACACATGGTACAGACTGCCACACTGTCGGCTTGGGTCTATATTCTGAGTAAGGAACACAACACGCTGGAAAAGTTCTAGGCAGGAGAACAACCTAAACAGGTCTAGAGAGAACCCTGCGGCTGCTGCCTGGTTGGCAGTAGAGGGCTGGAGCAAGAAGCAGACCCTGGGAGGCACCACAGGAGCCCAGGAATACTAACTCTGTCCCTTAGGACCCGGCCCACACTTCAGAGGCCCCAGAACTCCAAGTCTCAGAGCCAACATGTTCAACCTCAGCATTCCGCACACACCACATCCTTTCAGCCAGGTTCACAACTGTGCATGCTAGGCAAGGCCTCTACCAATAGTTACACTCCCCACCCTATGTTGCTAATTTTAAAGAGAGAACTGAGTCATCCTCAGTGACGACTGTGAGAGGAGAGTTGGATGGAAAAAGCTGACCAGAGCTGCCTTTTCTACAGTGTTTGGAGCTCAGCGCCCCCTGGTGACTGACACTTGTAACAGCTCTCCAATAAAGCAGGGGTGGGGCTCTGCTAGTAGTGTACTAACTCCTGGCAGCTGAGGGGATTTCAACACAATGCTTTCTGGGCTGGGTGACTGCTGGAAGATTTGGAGCCACATATGGATCCTGGAGGGACTAATACAGCGAGGATGTGTGTACTCCTAAAGCCCAGAACCATGCACCAAGGAGACGGACCGAGCTAGTCCATCTTGGGTCTCTAGAAGGCAACAGTTCTCAACCCGTGGGTTGCCACCCCTTTGGCGTTGAAAGACCTTTTTACAGGGGTTGCCTAAGGCCACTGGAAAACACAGACATTTACATTCTGATCCACAGCAATAGCAAAATTAGCTATGAAGCAGCAAAGAAAATAATTTAATGTCTGGGGTCACCACAACATGAGGAACTGTATTGGGTTGCAGCACTAGGAAGGTTGGGAACCATTGCATTTGTCTTGGGGGTGGGATTCAATATTTTCTTTAAAAACAGCTCTGGCCACCAAGCCAGGCATCAAGCTAAAGAACAGAGAACTAGAGAACACAATCTACTCTGTCCCCGACCACCACCACCAATGGGGTGTCTCTGCCCATTGCCAGAGGGTTGGAAGTAGGAGCTAGACAGATCCCCAACAGGAAGACAGGGAGAGGGGCCACAGACAGACAACAATGCAAACTTGCAGCTTCTTCACCCTCCTGAAGTGAGAGAGGCCAGGCAGGCCTTTTCCCTCATCAGCAGGGCTCCCTGTTCTGGCTGAGCAATCCAGGTTGGCCAGAAGATAGGTTCAAAGCCATTCTGAACATGTTTATCTGAAGCTGTGGGCCTACAGGCTCCTCTTTCTTGGTTTAAGTCCAAAATTAAGGGAAAGCTGCCCTATACCACCAAAACCACAAACATGCATCAAGTGGGAATCTGCCAAGTCCTCACCTGATCTTTCCCATTCCCAACAGGTAAGGAAGGCTACCTACCCACCTCACAGTGAAACCCTCGGCACCCTCACCACAGCCCTCTGCCCAGCAATCACCTGGAATGACGATGTCTCCAAGTCCCAGCATGGCAAAGTTGTCCGCTTCAAGGCCCTTCTCCAGCAGATCCTGGGGGAACACCACTGCAGGGAGAGGCAGGGGTGAGAGGGAGCATCGGAGGGGCCCTGTTTACTCAGGCTGCCAGCCTCCAGCCCCGTCAAGTGTGACTCACATACATGTGTTGCCATGGAACCATGAGAAAGAAGCCCTAAGCTGACTTTACCCTCAACTGCTTGCTGCCACAAGCCAGTGCTGCTATGATTCTACAGATCCCCGAGTATCCTCTCAAAGTCACCTCCCCCTCTGCCCAGCTACAATGCCTGGTACAGTCCCAGAGCCTTGTGGTCCCATGTGATTCAGGGTCATCCAGGGCTGAGACTCAAAGCTGATCTGGTTTCCCATCTATCTTGGGATGGGTGCTTGTTTGCTTTGACTGTTTTTGAGATGCTCCAGCTATGTAGCCCAGGCTGGTCTTGATTTTTCATTCCTGCCAAGTACCTGGATTAACACTCAGGTGGTACCAAGCTCAGCCAAAGAACCTAGGTCCTCATGCATGGTAGAAAAGCTCTTTACTATTGGCTATGCCTACAGCTCCATAGCATATGACTTGGCCAATGACCCATGAAAGGAGCTTCCCCAGGTTTTTTTTTTTTTTTTGGGGGGGGGTTGGTAAACCAAAAACACTCTTCCCGAAGAAAGAAAAATTGGTCCCCTACTCTGTGCCATGTCAAAACTATAATTGCAGTTCCCCTCTGGGGACTATGGAAAGGTGAGCTGAAGAACAGGTAACAAACATGTTGAGAATGATGGGATAGGAGGGCGGAAATAACCTTGGTTTTGGTGATTCCACTGAAGGGCATTAACCCATCTTTGAGCTGTTCTATCCAGGCTTACAGTAGCTTGAGATAAAATTTCCCCTTTTTTATTCAGGCCCAGGGATCCCTGCACTTCGGAGGTGGAAGCACAAAAGGCTCAAAGCCACCGTTGGCCACAGTGAGTTTCAGGATGGCTTCAGCTGGCCACAGTGAGTTTCAGGATGGCTTCAGCTACCCGAAATCCATCTCGACAAACATCCAGATTCTCCTTATTTAGCAACATTGATACTTGGGTTTGTTTTGTTTTGTGTTTTTTGTTTGTTTTGTTTTTGAGACAGGGTTTCTCTGTGTAGCCCTGGCTGTCCTAGAACTCTCTCTGTAGACCAAGCTGGCCTCAAACTCAGAGATCCACCTGCCTCTGCCACCCAAGTGCTGGGATTAAAGGTGTACACTACTACCAACCTGTTTGGGCTTTTCATTTTCAAAAGATTTGCATTTATTTATTTTTATATGTGTGGGAGTACATGTACAACAGAATGTCCGTGTAGAGGTCAGAGGACAACTTGTGGGAATTAGTTCTCCCCTTCCAGCATGAGAATCTCAGGTATTGAACTCAGGTTGTCACGTTTGGCAGCAAGAAATGGGCCAGCTGAGCCATCCTGCTGTTTTTTTTGGACAGTCTTGCTATGTAGCCTAAAAGTTGCAATCCTCCTGCCACTCAAGTATTGGGACAACAGGAATGTGCCCCATGCCTGTGCTATGGATCTTCTTTTCCCTTCTTTCAGAGGTGAACCCCAGGGTCCACACATGCTAGACAAGCATTCTACCCCTGAGCTACTACACCCCCAACCCCTAAAGTTGGGTTTCCTAATACATGTATGAACAAAGGTTATTCTAAAAAACAAAACCAGACAAGAGAGCATCTGGTACTCAGGCAACAAGGGGAACCCAGTGAGTATGATAGTGTGAAGGTTTCTACTTCTGGACACCCACTGAAGCCCTATGATAGGCTGGTAAACAACTCTCTTCTATGCTTATTCCCATTCCTATAATTTCATACCACACGTCATGACCAAGCAGCCAAAGACCAGGGTCAGGAGGACGGGGACGGGGGACTGAGCTCAAGAATACAGCCAGATGAGTCAATGAAGAGGAAATATAAAGAGGTTCTGACACCAACAGGGATGATGAGCCAACTGGGGTAGAGAGGATGCCCGATTGTGGGAGGCGGTCACTTACATTTAATTGGTGCCTCAAAAGACTTGGCCACAGTCACCATCACGTTGGTGCCGAATACCTGGAAGGAGAAGACAGGAGTCTAAAGGGAGGTGGGTGGGCAAGAAAGGCTGTCCCTGGGCTTCTAGATGTGGTATGGCTTGAGGTGTATAAGAGTTGAACAGGGAACTAGAAGAGCTCAGAGCAGACCTGACATAGAGTTGAGGTGGCCATTCATGTGGTTCTAGGCAAAAGAAAATCTGAAGGAATCGGAGAAAGACCCTAAGTGGCCCAAGCCAGGCAGCCTGCTTGTTCAGGCTTCTACCCCTCTTAAGAGACAAAGACCCTAGACAGCATTCATTCAAAGACAAAAGGTCTTCCAGAGTCAAGGAACGTATGCTACAGTCAGGCAGATCCCAGAGCCCTTAGCAGAGTGAAAATGCAGCCAGAGCACAGCTAACTTCTGTCCTTGCTGGGCCGTTTACCAGCATCCACCACTCCTATCCAAATGTCCCCGAGTCTCAACTCATTTGCTCTAGAGACACAGGATTTAGTAGTAACCCCCTAAAGACCATCTGAGGGTGTATGAAGGCACTGGGTTTACTGGGCTCTTGGTAGATGTCATCCTTTTTCTTTGGATTTACAGATAGACAAGAAATAGACCAGCTCTGGGGTACAAACTCCATCAGACTGCCATGTGGACAGAGATGGCAGAGATACAGGGAAGCTAGGAGGCAGAGGAGGGCCCTGAGAGCTGGACAGCACGTCCCTGCCTGACTCACCCAGAAGATGTCATAGATGAAGAGTCCGCCAAGCAGGATGCAGCCAGTGCTCACGTTGTTCAGGTGCAGGAGCTCTACCCCATTAAGGGAGAAGGCCAGGCCAAACAGGTTGTTGGCAATCCAGTGCTGGGGAAAGGGGGGAGTGAGACCAGCTGGCCGTGGCCCATCCTACCCTGTCTCCCCAGCCTCCCCTTCTGCTCAGGCCCTGACTACTCACCTTCCTCAGCAGGTACCAGACACCAACGACGCTGCTTAGGCCCAGGCACACCAGGTCCTTAGTGTCAAACTCATAGTTGATGATCTCTGGGCAGAGAGGCCAGGTAAGTCCACTCCCCAGAGTGAGGCCATCCCCCCAACCTGTCAGCCCCTGGATGGAGGAGGGCATGGCTGCCAGCATGGTCAGGCAGGCCCAGGGGCCTGGCTTTAGCTGCCTCAGACTGGCAGGGGTGTTAGCTGGGGACAGGTCACTGGAGCCATGCCCAATTTTCTGGAGGGGAACATAGGCCCAGATACAATGCAGGGTGTTGGGAGATACAAGCTCTGCCACATGAAGCTGGGTGACTCTGGGGAAGGCAGTGCCCTCTTAGAGTTTGTTTCCCTATCTGTACAAAAGTCAACAGTACCTCCTCAGGGAGCTGTTGTGAAGGGTACACAAGGCTGTTCTTAAATGCCCTCAGCACAGTGCCTGGAATGGAACACAGTGGGTTCCCAAATAATGCCACTCCTACCAAGTTTGAAAGTTCAGGAAATCAAGGGAATTGCTGATAACCCTTCTAAGCAGAGGAAGAAGGAAAGAGAGAGAGAGATGTAGAAAGTAGTTAAGAGAGAATCTTGAAGGCTGCTCCTTAGGAGCACCTTGCTAGAGACCCTGATGTCAGACCTACGCTGGTTGCTTTCAAATTTCCGAATAACAGAGTGTGGTCACTTCTGTGATTCCAAAGTGCAGCAAATTGCTGCTTGTCCCCCAATTCCTGCTCTCTCCTATGGTTACAACACCCCGTTTTCATTTTTTAAATGTATCTGTTGAATTTATTCAGCATAACTACAGAGGCATTGTCTTCATGATGTCACATACAGACACAAACACAGATACAACACAATATTTATATTTAGCTCAAGTGCATTGCATCTAAGGCTCACTTATATGTCTTCATGTGCCACAGCCCGTCATTTAGATAATGGATATTTTCAATGCCGATCCCCTTGTTGATTTTCTCAATGTCTGCTGCAGCCATCTTCATGACTCCGACACACAGGGCATGCTCTTTCCCTTCTGCCATGACCGCCACGATGGTATCTACTGCAGCAGCGTAGAGCTTCGCTCCAGGAGATGTTAAACCTGGACACATGATATTTGCACCACTGAGCACAAATTTGATGGCTCCTTTGTCGACCTGCTGGTGTGGCAGGATAAACGGGTATTTGTGAAGTAATCTTAGCGTTGGATAAAAAGGTCCTTTTCTCTGCCTGAAAAACAGTAATTCTCCGTTGACTGTAAGGATTTCCATGTGTTCATGGCATCGCACTATTTTGACTGGATCTTTCTTAGGCATGATTTGATTAAGCCACGGCTCGATACCTGGGAACTGTTCGGTCAGTTGGCTCTTAATACCCTTAATAACGGAGGTTTTCAGCTGGATGCAGTTGGACACGCTCTCCTTCTCGTCAAATTTCTTGAACATGATCTTGGTGAAGGGGCGCCGACAGGGAAGAGCTGAGGCGAAACGTGGATCGCCGAAGGTCCAACCGGAGTCGCGGTCTACAGGAAGGATGGCACCGGCGTCCGAGCCGTCCGTTGTCGCTAACCGGAAGATAGTTCGACCGAAGGCGCTTTACGGCTGCGTAAGATCCGATTACTTCCGTTCCACTGACCCCCACGTTTGCTCTGACCCCTACGTGGTCACCCCACGGCTCTTCTCCGGATTTCCGGCAGTTCCCCGGATTTCCGGCTCTTCTCCGGACTTCCGATTGCAGAAAGGGTGGGGTGCGGACCGGAATTTGCGTCAGCGTATCCCTGTATACGGATGGACGGCCGCGTCGGGTTCGGACTGGACATGCGCCGAGCCTCGCCGCGCCGCTTCTCGCGAGAACACTGCCCCGCGCTACCAGCCAATAGGGATTCGCCTGTAATCTCTACGGCTGCGCAGTGGGCGCCATCCTGGACCCCGAGGGGTCCCTCATTAGGTAACTTGGCGTAGATGGGTATTTGGATGGTCGTTAAAAAAAAAAACAGGCTTAGCCTTAAAAAAAAAATCCAATCATTTATTTGACACCGATGTACTTGACGCAGAGACGAACCGTCACATCACGGTTTTGGGGGAAAAGGCAGAATGTGCTTGGCAACCAGGAGAGAGTGACAATACATTCCACAGGCTTCTCGTGTGTGAGAATTATCTTCCATTGGTCCCAAGCCGTCATTCCTCTTGTCACCACGTTTGAACCCATACGCTAACTGACACATCTGCATAGCATAGCTTTACTCTTCAAAGCTTAGGAAACACTCACTCCACAGACTCGCTAAGGGCTAGCTGTCTCCTACAGCTTTTACTGAGTGTACGTATGAGCCAGGCACTGTGCTGAAGGCTGTCCACTTACAATTTACTTCCTAACGGAAGAAGGGACTAGATTATAATTTGTGTTTTACAGATGGGGGAAACAAACTTCCTACAAAAACACCCAGTGTACAGAAATAATGGATTCATCCAGATTCCCAAGTCTGGGTAGTGGCAAAGCTGGGATATGAACCAGGGCCGTGAGATTTGAGATTCTCCTTTTTAATTACTTGTTTCTTTGGAGAACCCAGTACTAGAGAAACAAAGAAGGGGAGAGAGGGAGGTGGGGTACCACTGACCTTCCTTGTTTTCCCCAGAGCCCTGTGTGAAGAGCAGCTGATACTGGCGATTTGGGAAGTTGGCTGGAAAAAACTTATTCATGAAGGGGCTGGAAAGAAAGACAAAGCAGGTCGGCAAACTGCCCCCATGGGCAAGCACAGCTCTTAACAGTCCCCACTAATACCCACTTATGGCTGTAACCGCCAGGCACCTTTTATAAGTGCCCTGGTAGATACATACTATTGTTCCCACTCTATAGATTTGGAGTCTATTAGAGGATGATTTGACCAGGGTCACACAGGGAGCCAGAATCTGAGCTGAGATTCAAACTGAGGTTTCTGAACTCTTAGTGACTTGTTTTGCTTATTGGCAAAGTAAACACAGGCGGACTTGGTATGAAAAACTTGGGGTAAGTCAGAATTCCCAAGTCTGGCCCATCTGCCTTCTACCAGACTCTTAACAAGTCCCATTCTACTAATCTGACCAAGAACTGGGCTTTCACAAATGTAGTTGAAATTCACCGGCCAGATGAACCATAGTCCCCAGGTGTAATATCCCCCATTTTCAAGCCTACTATGAGGTCTTTGTTGCTTAGGGCCATCCTAGCTTTAAAAATATTGTTACCTAGCATGCTCCACCTTCTGGCCAGACAGGGAACAGAGATGTTCTTTCCCAGACTATTTTAGAGCAAGATTAGCACACCAAGGCCTCTTGGTCATGGGTATGACAGTATTGTGGAGTGGTTACTAGTCCCCACAGTCCTGTGGGGACCACATTAGTGGCAGCCTCCCCAGGCTTCGGTCTCCTTACCTGTGTGTTAGGATAAGCATATGGCCTATCTAGATCAAAGAGGTGTGTGTGAAGAGAAAATGAGGCAGGAAAGATGTTCAGTTCAGTGCTGGCTTGTAGTAGGGATGTTTCAGAACTGTGAACAAAGGTCATAGAAGACATCCCAGAATGGTTTCCCAACTAGGAAGTACAGCAAGGTAGGCCTGGAAACATTTAGGTCACAATGGATAAGGCAAGGATGAGAGTTTTGTTTTTTTGTTAAACAAAAAAACAAAACAAACAAAACAAAACAAACAAAACAAAACAAAAACAAAACAAAAAAACCTCTGGTGGCTTGGAGAATATGAATTTAAGAACTATCTCTGGGCTGTTTCCCCACTTGTCAAACAACTGATTCCTTGCAGCCTGGGGCTGTGTGATGTGACTGATGGATGATGAATGGCACCATAGGTAGAGAGAGGTGGCAGCAGGTACAGGGCTGGAATCTGGAGTGGGCATTCATGGAAGTGCTCTCAAGAGACGGAAGGCAGGAGCAGCCAGGATGGCTGAGGCTGGAAGCTCAGTTTGCTGGATCTCTTTTGGGGAGGGTGAAGCCACAGTGCATGTGCAGGCAGAGGCAGAGGCAGAGGCAGAGAGCAGCTTGAGGAGCTGAAGCATTCACCCAGCCTAGCCTCTTGGGAGCTTGACATTCTGCATCTTAATCAGAGTAACAGATGAGAGAGACACTTCCTAGGTTCAAGTCCTACTTAGCTGCTCCTTGCAACTCTTTTTGTATCTGGACATTACAATACCTTTCTCAGAGGATTATTGTTTGTTCAAAGATAGCACACCACTCTATAGCTCAAGTTGGCCTTAAACTTGCAACAATCCTCCTGTTTCTGCCTCCAGAGTGCTGGAGTTACAGGAATAACCCACCAAGTCTGACACTCTCACGGGATGAGAGGATTGAGCTAATGCTTGGTACCCTGTAAGTTCAACTGCAGCTTCCATTTCAAATGTTAAATGTCTGGACCGATTTCTGCATGTGATTTACACCACTGAGCTCACATCCAGACCTTAATTATTTTGATAGTGTCACTAAGTTGCTCAGGCTGGCCTCCAATTTTTGATCCTCTTGCCTCATCCCTCCAAATAGTTGGGATTACAGGCAAGCACTGAGAAAAGGGGCCTGCTATCCAACACAACACAAAGGATGGCACATATGATGCAACTGACTTGAGGGCGGGGCCCTGTCTCCTCACTGTACCTCCCCGGCCAGACAGTGGCACATATTTGCTAGCCAACTCTGAATGCACTTTTACTGTGGGCAGAGTGTTTTTTATGACCCCATGGCTCAAACAGACCTAGAGCTCATTGCTTTGTGCTGAGAAACACCCTGGTGCCGTTGTCCTTTTTGAGGGTAGATGGCGAGGGCCAATGAAACCACTGATGTGCCCTTGATGCCCTGAGGTAGCAGACTGGGATTTCTGTCTGTGGGTCACGTGAGTAGGGCAGGAACTCTGCCCAGAAGATAAAAATAGGGCAAGGTGCCTTGGCAGGATGTGTGGAATCTGACTGGGTTAGAGTCTTGGTGACTGTATTAGGTGAAGGCAGGATGTGACCCCGGCCTGCCCCCAGTACTGTGAGCTGTGGTCTCTTCTGAGCGGTTTGAGGTAGGCAGCGGGGTGACAGCAGAGGTGAAGGGATTCAGAGAACTGCAGCTAAGGTCAGCAAGGCCCAGGACATGGCTCTTACAGCCTTTAGCAGGCATTTTAGAATCTACGGAGAGGAGAATCTCCAAGTTCTCCCTTCCCTTTACTTCTGCCAAAGCAATAAAGAATTCTAGTACAGGCGTCAGACAGACCTGGGATCATACCCCTCTGCTTTTATCAGCTGTGAATCCTGGTAGACATAACTCTTTTGAACCTCAACTTCCCTTGTCTCATACCTTCAGACCTATGGTACAAATTCAGAGGAAGGAATGACTCATGGATATAAACAACTTGTGGAAACTCTGAACACTGCAGCTTTCTTAACCAAAAGACTCGAGAAAACACAACTCCAGTGAGTGAGAGTCAGTTTAATTTTTGGATCACTAAGGAAAAAAAAAAACATGACTAAATTATACTCCCCCCTTGTAATAAAATTGCTTTTGTTGGATTTTGTTCTTTCTAATGATAAACTTATGACTTCATTCATCTGGCAGGTTTTGTAGCCCAGGCCAGTCTTTAACTCATGATTCTCTTGCCTCAGCCTGCCAAGTTCCTGGGACCTTTACATGAGTGCCAGAGCAGATTACTATTGCTCTAAATCTTATTAAGAAAATGATTCATGGCTGGGGATGTGGTTTAGTGCTAGAACACTTGACTAGCATATGGGAGGCCCTGGGTTCAATTCCTAACACTAGAAGAAAGAGAAAAACCAAAACTCAGGGATGGGCTATAGCTGGGTAGAAGAGACTGTCTAGGGAAATACAAGGCCCTAAGTCTAACACCCAACATGAAAAAAAACAAAAACCAGTCTCTAGCTGACAAATTTTACCATGTAGCATTTATTGTTATTTTGAGACACTATTTCATATAAGTCAAATTGGTCTTGAAGTAGCTGTGCAGCTGAGGATGACCTTGAACTCCTGCTCCTAGTACTAAGATCAGAGGCATGAGCCACCAAACTAAGCCCATGTGCCTTTTCTTCCTTCCTTCCTTCCTTCCTTCCTTCCTTGGCTTTTCAAGACACAGTTTCTCTGTGTATCTTTGGCTGTCCTGGAACTCAAAGAGATCCACCTGCCTCTGGCTCTTGAGTGCTGGGATCAAAGACATGCACAACCATGCCCAGCTTTCCTTCTTTCTTTTTTTCTGAGACAGGGTCTCACAGTGTAGCCCTGGTTGGTGTGGAACTATGGAGAGCTAAGATATTTGCCTCTGCCTCCTGAGTGCTGGATTAAAGACGTGTGGTTCAACCTGGCTTCCCATGAGGATAACTGCTGACTTTTTTGCTCATTTGTGGTGCTAGGTTCAAACCCAGGGCTTTACCCTTACTTACTAGACAAGTGCTCTCCCACTAAACTATACTCCCAGGTGCTGGAGTATTCCTTGGATACTGAATGGAATGTAATGGAATATTCCTTTACACTGAATGAATATATGTTGCTGTGATTGGTTTAATAAACAAGTGACTGGCCAATAGCTGAACAGGATAAAGTTAGGCAGGAAAGCCAAACAGAATGATGGGATGAAGGGGAGGGCAGAGCCAGAGGCGTCCTAGATCAGATGCAGAGGGAGCAGGAGATAAATGTGTCACGCTAATAAAGGTACCACCACATGGCAGAGACGTAAATAAGACATGGGGTTAACTTAAAATGTAAGATCTGGTTAGTAATAAGCCTGAGCTTTTGGCAGAGCATTTATAATTAATCTGTCTCTGTGTGGTAATTTGGAAGTAGCTCTCAGGATGGGAAAACTATACCTTCACCCAAGCAATTGTTAGTTTTATTTTCTTTGATACTATCTATCACTAAGATTTATGAACTAGTTAGAGGGTAGAGAGACAACTGGTTAATCTGAGACATTAGGAACACAACAGTTTGTGGGTAGCTGGATGCAAGGCTGCTGAGATACTGTGAAATAATCAGTTTCCAAGCATATGGCCTAAATGTTGCTTTCAAAGTGTATGTTCTGTGTGGTGAAGCTAGGCTATGGAAGAACTGGGAGATCTCAAACCTCTTGTAGACACTGGGGTGGGACTGGCTAGACTTAGAGGAGTAAGTCATCAGCATAGAAAAGGAGGAGACCCAGAACTTCAAAGTGGTGGCTTCTGTCCTTGCCTTAGGTCCTCATGAGTGCTGGACCTGCTATTACTTCTGCTAGGTCCAAGTCATCCAGGTTCTCTGAGATGGGTCACGGTATTTTCAACTCAGCTAGAATAAGCATTTGCAGGTGAAGATGGTACTGGGTTTAGTACAAAGTCCATAACCAAAGTCCCAGCTATGTAACACTGGGCCAAGTCCTTAGTCCAATGTGTGCTTGGCATGGCTCACAGTGTGTTGGAGATAGGAGCCCATTTGATGCTTCCCGCCCATTAGCAGGCTCTGTACTCTGTCTACTGGGGGAGAAGCTGATACGTAAGAGAGTCTGAGGCCACCTTTTGAGACCACAGCTTGACTGCCTCCATCCTGCCAGTGCCTAGAGAAACAAGACACACTGCCCTTGGCATTCACTGCCTTTGGGGCAGACTGTGCTCTGAATACTCTGGAAAGCACTTGACATCGATCCCATAATGTGCAGAGGCCATCCAGCTCCTGGCATGGAACCTCTCTCTGGCTTCCTACCTTCCAAACCTGAGTGCAAGCTGAGTTCCTTTCTGTGGGTAACTTTTCCTGGCCACTCCCCAGTCTTATCTGTAGACTACTGCAAAGAGGCAGACAGGAACTGGGCTATCTCTGCTGTACATATGGAGGATAAGACTCTCATTTAGTGAATGTGAAAGGATGCTCAGATTATAAGTGTGCAGGCTAGCCCTGCAGAGTTAAGGTGGCCAGTAGCCCCTTGCTTTCATGACACTGTCCTAAATCATTTATACTTGATGCCCTGATACAAGCGACTGGTTCTGAGCAGAGTGGCCTGTGTCTACAGACCCGGGCCTCCGTCCTGATTTTGCTCTTTGCTAGCTGTGTGGTCCTATCAAACATCTTACTTTCACTAACTTCAGTTTCTCTAACTGTAACCCAGGATCAACAGCAAGAGTAGGCTAGCCAAGGTGTCTAGGAAGCTGGCACAGGTGATTGCAGCCGTCTTAACAAAGGTGACAGTTGTTGTACCTATTGACTGAGACCCCGAGGAGACTGAAGTCAGAGAGTAACCTGTCTTGTAGAGGCTGAACTTAAGGTCAGATGGTCAAATTCAGAGCCTGCATTCTCAGCCCCCTACTGTTAGGAGTGTGTCCCTTAAGGCACTAAGCCTAGTGCTTGGCAAGTGCCACTGGGGTGGGTGACACACTCAGCACTGTGATGACTCTTGACACTCCCAACTGGGTCCTCTCTACAACTAGGTCTTATACAATAGCCCAGGTTGGCCTGGAACTTGCCTCAGCCTCTTGAATGCTGATAGCCACCATAATTGGCTTGTAAGTCCCTATAAGGAGACTGTGGCCCAGAGAGGTTCCAGTGTCCATCCTAGGTCATGTACAATGTGACACAAGGGGAAGAAGAATCCCTTGGATTTTAAAGCCAGGATTTAAACCTGACTCTGAATGACACAAAAGATCATGTTCCCATTCAAGACCCTGTACTGGCTCCTGAGAAAGTGGCTTCAAAGGCTGCCGGGAGATGCCTTCTGACCTGATGGTGTGGGACAGGGCCAGGATCCCCAGCACGAAGAAATACATGGACAGCAAGAGGTTGATGTACTCCTGGGAGAATATCTGAGGAAGAAATACAGAAAGAAACAAGTCAGTGTTGTCAGAAGCCATGAGGAGTCTCCTGGAGGTTGGTCTCTTTGTACCCTCGGGAGTTAGGGGCAGTCGGGAAGCAGCTCACACTCTAGTGCTTCCATTTTCACAGCTGGGGGATGGGTAGTACCTTAGGTCCCACCAGATGGACTCTACCCACAAAGGAGTCTAGATATTTACATATGTGATTCCATCATTTGGGGACGGGCAGTTACTATGTGTGCCCAGGGTTTTACATGGAAGTCGTAAGGGCACAGGGGAAGGGTCTAAAATAAACCCAAGAGCTGTGTCAGAAGCAAGAATTTACTCTTCAATGTTTCCTTCTTCCTGCTCAAAAATCAGGGAGCCCCTTTAAAGGGGCCACCGAGCCCTAAAGCATGCTAGTTACAAGATATATGGGTGCCCTGCACGCCACTCATTTCAACCCTTTCCTCCCCAAACCTGCAATGGCAGCTTAAAGTCAGGACACCAGGCCCTGACAGCTACTTCCTCACCTTGTCACTGTCAGTCAAACCGAAATATTCTGTCACAGTGCTTCAAAGCTAGTTGTCACATATTCATTCTGGAACTTGGGAAGACTGTGCTGAATCTGTGCCTGCTGCAGCCTCGGCTCCACTCGTCACTGTGTTGTTCTCTTAACTGGGAGGTAGGGACGTGCTTTTCTTGGGGATACAGGGATTATACTGCTCGACTCCTATAGTTATCTGTTTAAATGTCAATCTGATCCTGTTACCCTCCCACTTCAAGCCTTGCCACTGTTTTCCCTTTGTTGCATGTTGTTCTCATGAATGGGGAGGCCTTGTAGGCCCCCTCTGCCCTGCTCACACGCTGCCTGGGTGTCATAACACTGCAGCCTCACTCCCATTCATTCCCAGGTAGCCTGGGTATGTGCTCTTGGGCTGCCAGCATGTCTCTCTATTTCCCCCTTGCCTAGGCCACCTCACCCTTCTTTCATCAGCTCTCAGCCCTGAGAAGCTTTGACCTCTGCCCAGCAATTTGGCTGTATTTCATGGCTGCCTCCTACATGCTGGGCATTGAGCCGAATACTAGCCATACAACGAGGAATAAGGCAACTTCAGAGTTCACATGCTGATGAGAGAGAAAGAATCTCAAAGGATGCTAAGTGCATGGCAGATTTCAGATTCGCCAAGCAGGACTGGAGGATTGCAGCAAGGTTGTGGTATGTACCTGAGATGTGCACACAGAGAAGAATGGAGGCAGAGTGCCCAGGGAGAAAGGATCCTGTGTGAGCCAGCAGAGGGAGCATTGTGCCCTGAACTAAAGGTGTGGGGAACTGATGAGAAGTGGAATCCAGTCTGTCCTGGACCAGCAGGATAAAGGGCAGGAGCAAAGGAACTCCTGGTGCTCTTGGCTGAGCAGCGGGTGCGTGTGTGCGCGCGCGCGCGCGAGAGAGACAGAGACAGGGAGACAGGGAGAGACAGAGAGAGGGAGAGAGGGAGAGGAAAAGGGAGAGGGAGAGAGAGAGAGAGAGAGAGGTGCGCTCTCACAGTGGGTTGGCTCCGGGCTTTTGTCAAACACAACCTCACACTTGATGTTGCTACTTATTGCTCAGTGACCCTAGCACAAGGCCTAAATTCAGAAAGACTGAATGGCCATCAAACCAATGCCAGGTAATGGGAACTCACTTCCCCATTCACAACCCAGTTGGTGGCCAAGAAAGATGGGAAGTTCCTCAGAAACTGCATGAAAAGAAAGGACTTCTACTCTCTTGGGTCCTCCAGGGAGGAGACAAGGGAGGCCCATGGGCAAGTGTCTGTATGGGGGGTTAGATCCTTGGGCAAGTGTCTGGCCTGGGACCAGGGTGGAGCTCCAAAGTGAAGACTTAAGGGGATTTCATCCATGTGCCTGGATGTTGCTAAGTCTCAGTTATGACAACACAGGAGGAGGGACTCAGCAGGGAGCAGTCTTACGGTTTGGGGGCACTTGGTCCCCTGGGCTGCCCACAGCCTGTCTATGAGAAGGACAGAAAGCAGGAAGGGAGCAAAGGGGCTAATAAGTCCCACTGAGGTGGGTCTTCTCTTGTTACACAAACCATACAATTCTTGCAGATTTGTGGCCACACTGACAACGCTGTGTCAATGTGGACACTCTGGAGACATGGGAAGACCTCGTGTTGGGCCCACCTGCCCAGAGAGGACAGACTGAGCAATACGAAACGTTAGACAAAGTTCACACCCTTTAATGCTAGAAATTCTTTTGGGGGACAACTAGCCTAAAGAAAAACATTAAAGAATTAAACTAAACATTAAAACTGGGAGAAGGTCTAGAGGCAAGGGGCTGGGTGTGGATTCCTGCACTCAGCACAAGAGACTCTACACACAGCAGCAGCAGCCAGACCAGAGGCAGTGGGATGGCAGCAGTCCTACATGGCAGTGCAGGGCTGAGGGGGAGCCAAGGGAGCCCCACTACACACTGCTGCCTCTGGCAAACACACCAGAGGGGCTTTGGAGCAAGGGCCTCTGGTGGAGAGGGAAATGGAGGTGAGCATTCAGGGCAAAGGGAGAAACAAGAAGACTTTGAGCAGGGTGTGCTCTACACCAGCACCTTTGATAGAGTGAGTAGCTTCCATCTGTGGTCCAAGAAAAAGGAAAACCAAAACTCAAAACCAGTGAATACTCAGAGCATCCTCGGTTTTCAGAATGAGTTTGTTCAGAGAGAGAGTAAGTGTGCTGAGTCTGCTTGTGGGGTACTTAGGATTTAAGAATTAAAGAGCAATCCACACAAGGGCTACTGAGATGGCTCACTGCCAAGCCTGGAGACCTGAGTTTGATCTGAAACCCACACAGTGGAAAGACCCAACTCCTGCAAGTTTTCTTCAGACCTCAGCGCATATGCCATAGCATGTATGACCCCCCAAAATAAATGTAAGAAATTCAAACAAGAGTGATCAATGCACTAGGAAACAAGGCATTAACATTTGGGCTTTTACTTGACTCGATGCTGTCTGGGGTAAGAGTGTGGCTCAGTGGTACAAAATGTGCTTGGCATGCATAAGGCCTTGGGTTTGGTTCTCAGCAATGCCACTCCTGCCATCACTACCACTTTCACAAAGGAGTTTGGCATTGTCTGTCCAACTGCAAATGGAGACCCTGTTTTCCTACATATACTTGTGTACCAAAGGATTTGTGCTACAGTGTGGAATGAACATATTCGCAGCAGTATTGCCATGATAACACTGGGTACACCTAAAACACCCTCAGGGGAAGTGAAACCACCAGGCAGGGTTGCCTGTGTTGATACATACCCTACGAACCCCTCAAACATTTAACATAAATCTAGATCTATCATTTCAGAGTCTCAAGAAAATACAGGAGGGTGTCCTTGTTTGTACCTTTACATAGTTTGAAGCACACTCATACAGGTGTGCATGCATGCATGCACATTTTGTCACTGTGTTAATAAAGGAACCAAGGGCTTTGTACATGCCAGGCAAGAATTCAATGACTGAGCTACACTCCCAGCCTTGAAAAAATATTAATCATTTAAAATTACTTTGCAATGGCAAATTAAAGCTTTTCTTGACGAAATTTCAGCAAATAGAAAGTGAGTGCTTGTGACACAATAGTAAAAACACCAAGAGTTTAGTGCTTTCCTCCTGACGTTGAGGCACACTTACCAAAAGCCTAAAGGAAGCCCCACAGATGGTGACACGGACTGCCCATTGTGAGACCTGCTTCTCTCTCAACAGACACCTCTCTGTGTAATGTTAACTGCCTGGTACGCATTACTCTCACTCAGAAAGCAGTACACGTAGAAGAGCATGTTTAAGGAGCATTTAGTTACATGGGAAAATGCTCATGACATTTTCTATGGGAAGTGGAAGCTACAGATGGGCTATACCGTGCGGCCACAGCTATGGAGAGAGCATGCACGGGAGGACCACGGAGGACACACCGCCGAAGAGGAACTGAGAGTCTCTGGAAGCTGAGTTTTGGATGGCTGCCATTTCTTCCTTTTTATTTTACTTTTCTGTGTTTTTCAAGTTTTCAACATTGAGCCCTGTTTAACTTTTATTGGGAAAATAAACCTCAATAAATTAAAAAAAAAAAGGTGACTAGTATGGTAGAGGTGTCTGCAACAAAACTGGCATCAGAAGAACACCCAGCTATCTGGAGAAAAACGGCTGGCTGGTGGGGAAGGGGAGTGAACACTAACAGGCACTTGTTCTCCCTGCTATTTCCTACAAATGATCATGCATAAAATAAAGTTATCTAGGCAGCAAAGGGACTTACTTTGAAAAAGAGGTAGAGTCCCAAGAGAGTGCAGCTGGCGATGATGGGGAAACGGGCGGCGTCTCGGCTGGTGATGGTTTCTGGCATGTCCGAAGAGCTCTAGAAAGAGAAGAAAGGTGCAGCTGAGCCGCCGCGGATGCCTCGTGCTCCCGCAGAGCCATCTCTTTCTCCCTCCATGACGGTCCACTTTGGTGTCTCACTCCTTGTCTCAAGGCTTTTGCTAATGTTATTCCGTCTACCACAGAGGTTTATAATGGCAGATGTTATAATTAGCAAAAATATGGAATGGGTAAGGAACTGACACAGGATAAATATTTACACAAAAAACGAACTGAATGAAAAACAAAAGCATTTCAGTATCATAAATATGGGAAGTAACTGAAAATGGAGTGACAGTGTAGCATAAGGATTAAATTAGTTTTATAGAATTTAAGTCAAAGTCAAAGTCTTAATGAAACTTCATTAGTGTTAGCACAATTCTGGTTTAAATTAGTACAAAGCTTTCAAGCTGGAGGTGTGGTTACCTTTAATCCCAGCACTCAGGAGGCAGAGGCAGGTGATTATCTGTGAATTCAAGGCCAGCCTGATCTACATAGAACCATGGACTCAAAAACCAAGCCAAAACAAATCCCCAAATCCTCATTGTCTTTAGGGACCCAGTTAGCATCCCTGCTGGGACGCCTTTCTCCCAGAGACATGTCTACCCCTCAACCCTTTCTTCTTTAGAGATGGATGATCATGGACCCTGCACTCAGCCTACTTCAGCCTCCTGAAGTAGCTGGGATTACAGGTGTGCACCATAGAACCTGGCTCCCCTATTTTTATCAGTTACCCAGTTATCCTAGCAAAGTCAGACTAGGCTCCCGTCATGCCAAAGGAAAGACTATAGTAGCCAAAGTCTCATCACAGCACCCAGATTTCACACCCTTTACACTCATCTTGTGACTAGCCATCTACATTTCTGGGAGAAAGGACCAATCATTAGGAAAAAGCATGCAAAGAGGGCAGCTGTCTGGAGAAGAAGACTCTGAATTTGAGAAGTTGTTGTGCCCCAAAGTACAAAATTGCCAAAGGGCAAGGAGACAGGAGCTGGGCAGCAAGCCTGTGAAACCATCACCAGGTAAGGGAGGCATACAGTTAAGTGTGAACACCATTCACTTAAATGTTCACAAACCCGGGCAGCCTTTTGGATGGCAATTTGATGGGATGAATATAGTTTACATATGCCCAATGACACAAAGACCACACACCTATGGTGTGTATGTGTTTCCATGGGTGCATGTGTGTACCCCTTTCATACATAGACAGGGCCTCTAACTTGAACCCACAGTACTTCAATTTGGATAGTCTGGATATCTTATTCAAGGGGTCCTGTCCTTGTCTCCTAAATGCTGGGATTACAGGTGGATTGCCACACCCACCCAGCATTTACATAGTGGTGTGATCTGAATTCTAGTCCTTGCTCTTGTGGGACAAGTACTTTACCCAGTGAGTCACTTCCTAGCTCCAATTCTCATTCTTTTTACGGTTCTGTGTGTGGTCCTGGGGATGGAGTCCAGAGCCTCACACACAGCAAGCACTCTACTCCCAAGATTCCCTGCATCGATAATTGTGATATACATCCAAACCTTACTGTACACATCCTATGACCAAATAATCTCAAATCTGGGGGTCTTCTTTAGACACCCATTGCTCGGAGACTCAGTTTACTCCTCTGTCACACAGGGTGACAGACAATCTGTAGCTTTACTTAACTCAAAAAGGGGGAGGGGTGCTAAGATGTTGAATGGAGAGTAGGATACATACGGGGCAAGGTGTGGGGGGGCAAATTGTGAAGTGAATGGGAAGGTCCTTACCCGCCCTGCGGAGGTAGGGCTGAAGGGCAGGCCACCCCTGGGAGACTCTTTCCAGTTTGCAGGAAGGGAGAGAAGCACGGGCAACTCTGACAGGGAGGCCCAGTTTCCTTCCTTCTCTCCTCTGCCAGGCCCTGGCTTCTGTTTTTGGCAGCAGGGCGGTGACACTTGGGCAGTACCTTGCCTCTGTGCACCGCCACATGTGGCATACATTTCCTGTGTAGCAGCAGTGTGAGTCCCCAGGCAAGAGGGCTACAATCCTAACAGCCTAAAGAGACTGGCTCAGTGGATGTGATGGGAGGCAGCATAGCTGTGTGCTGTGTGCTGACACATGGAATGAAGGCCCAATGGTTGGACAGCTTGTCCAGAGGCCAGGAGGCACAGCAGCCTCCCAGCTGTATTTTTCCTCCTCTCAGAGCCTTCATTTTCTTGACTGCAAAACAAACCCAGGATTCCAGTTTCTGCAGTGGATGTACATAGCATAGAGCCTCGAGTCATTACTCAAGTCTGTGTGCTATTTCTATCACTACATGCAGGAATCACGGGTAAGCTGACACTATTTCTGAAGGGGAGTGAAGTGTCACAGGTGGCCAGAGCAGATGCCATTTAAAGCCTTGACAGGCAGACACAGGGTCTGGAGTGCAGCGGAGGCCAACTGTGTGGAGCGTTTGCTCTGTGTACACAGAACAGCAGTTCTCATTCTCAGGCAGACTGTACAGAGGCTTGGGGCTCGAAAGCACACTCAGGGCTTTGTGGGTTCCCTACAAACCAGCACTATGGCTCATTTCCACAAATTCCTTTCAGTTCAGCCCAATCCCAGGGCAGGAAGAGGCTTCATGTTATTCGATGACAAACCAAGGTTGGACAGATGCTTCACCAAACAGAGGGATCCGGTCTCCTCTGTGGGTGACGGTTATAAATATCTCACACACTGCAGTGTTGAGTCAGAGTGGGAGCCTTGCGTTCTGACTGGTAATAACAGAAGGAGTTTACTGAGCCCTTTCTATATGCCAGGCAGTGTCCCAGGAGCTTTACCTGCCCCCAGCAGGTACTTCTAACACATGAGGCAACGAGGCCCAGGGAAGTGAAGTGTCTTGCTTGGTGTAAGACAGATGGCGAGTAGGACTGAACCCAGGCAGCCTGGCAGCCTGACCACTTGTTACTAGCTGTCCTCCACCTTCACTCCCTGGAGAGTTCTACTGGAACTGATGACGCTAAAGAGGCCTGTGGCCTTCACTAGACAACAAATTCTGAAGATCTCTGGCTCTGGCAGGCCTGGAACTCACTCTGTAGACTAGTCTGGCCTCGAACTCAGAGATCAACCTGCTTCTGCCTCCCGAGTGCTGGCATTAAAGGTGTGCATCACCACCGCCAGGCTGAATAGTTCATCACTGTAGTTACAAATTGGTAGATTTGCTACCAATTTGATTTGAGTTTTTAAGCCAAACACTGAAGAAAATTAGAGAATGGGGAAAAAGTTTCACGAATGGCTGAAATAAAATTAGCTTTCAGCACCCTGGGTATTCAGATATCAGTGTGGGAGCCAAAGCAGCAGAGGGAGCCAGATGCCTAGCTTCAAGCCACTGGCACAGCCAGGGCCCTGGAAGGACTGCTTTCTGACTATACCCCAGAGACAGACTGGAATTCCCGGGCCATTTTATTGCTGTCTGCCCAGATTGAGGCCCTCACCCCACACTCACCCCGTTTGCCACCATTCTGCCTCCTGGCTGTGCTCTGAACTTGCCTTCTTCCCATCTTTGCCCCCCTACCCCTTTCTGGCTTCACCCAACTGGACCAGCCCTTTTGTTTCTCCTTCCAACTGACAGAGCACACTCTAAAGCCTACCCCTGCCTGTATTTGCTTAAAGACCTCCAGAGTAGATCATGTGACCCTTTAATAGTTAGGATGCAACTAACCCATGGCAGAATGAATTGCTACAGCCCCTACCTAAAGATACAGATTCAGGTAGTCTTTGACTCAGTAAGCCAATTTCAAGAAATTTGCCCTACAAACAAATTATGAAATCATAAATGTGTAAGAATATTGATTTCAGAATGATTTGTGGTGGCTAAGGACCAAGACAAATTTTGGAGGCCTCTAAATTAGTGGCTCTCAAATTTTGAGTGTGCACTAGGATTACCTGGAAGGCTTGCAAAACACTCTTCTGTGCCCACCTTGAATTTTGATTTCAAATCTGCATTTGCTGAGGGAACTGGTGCCCTGAACAAACTGTGGATACAGGAGACATGGTGTTGACACCTGTAGTCTAAGCACCTGGGAAGTTGAGGCAGGAAGAGTGCTAAGTTCGATGCCACATTGAGCTACCTAGTGAATACCAGGCCAGCCAGAGCAACACGCAGCATTCAGCCTCATAAAAACAAAACCCAACTCCCTCCCCACTACCCTGAAAAGGACCATCCCAGGTGTACCAACACACCTGGGTGTCCAAAGGATGGATGAATAAGACCCAGGCAACAGGGGCTGCTGGCACAGGCAGTAGGGCGGGAGCTTTTCATTATGTACCTGTGGGCCTTTTGTGTTGTGTACCAGGGACCTATTTCACTTTGAAAAGGCTGAGGCAGCTGTGACGCAGAAAATGACTAATTCACACTGCTGAACAAAAACAAGCTGCAGGGCAGCATGTACTGAAAAATCACTTTCATAACAACAGGCCTACCTGTATATACAAAAGCGAGCATTTATTTCTATACACGCAGAGAATGTTCTAGAAGGCAAGCTGGGGATATAGCTGGTGGGAGAGCAGATGCTTAGCATGTATGAGGCCAGGGTTAGATTAAGAGTGCCATAAAAGGGCTCAGAGATAAGAGCACTGGCTGCTCTTCCAGAAGACCCGAGTCCAGTTCCCAGCAACCACATTGTGGCCCACAACCATCTGTAATGAGACCCGGTACCCTCTTCTGGCCTGGGCAGAACACTGTATACATAATAAATAAAAATTAAAAAAAAAAAAGAGTGCCGTGAAAATGAAAAAGTTCTGGAAGGTTCCACAAGTAGCTGGGCACATGTGTCACTTCCAAGAGGTTCTGAAGCGGCTTTTCTTTATGCTCTGCCACTGCCTGAATTTTACACACCAGAACATTTTTGCTAAGTAGCCACTTGAGTGTTACATTACCTTAAGAATACTTTTCCTCAGAAAGGGTGTAGTTCCCCAGGCATCTTGTCATAGCACTCAAGCCTCTATCCTGGGCTCCTGTTACACTTCTTACTGCTCCCTCTCCCCAGCCTGTTGAGTTCTCTAGTGCACAAAGACACCTGTTGCCTCTCCAAGATACAGAATTCCCTCTAGTTGGCTGGTTGTACATTCCGTGTCTTAGCCCAGCACTCCTGGCACCTTGCCCAGGATCTGACAACAGATGCCCAGGGCTGTTGGCTAAGAGATCCCTCTGTGCTATAGGTGAAAGCACCAATCCGGCCATCAGCTCCCGCTCGGCTGGAATTTACTCCCTCTCAGGGATATAGGCTTCTGACACCCCTGTGGGGGCTTCTTCCAAACATCCCTGCACATTTCATCTTCTTTTGCTCAGGACTGTACAATATGCTCTGCTTTTTACGGATACTATGACCCCAGGGGAACTGTCCTCAAATGCTCTCTCTCAGTAGGCCTGCCTTGGTGTTGAATATCAGTTGGGAGTGCCAAGCTCCTGGGTCCTCACTGTCTCCTGTCAAATGAGCTAGGCGGACAAAGGAGTCATCTGGCTCATCATATCTCAGGTCAAATCATAACTTGTGTGTTTTCAGAGGCACCTGTATCAAGGATGGCAGCACAGTCTTCTAGAACTGGGCCCACCGGTTCATTTTTGAATGGCAGAAAGACCTTCACTCTTTGACCTTCGGCTCTTTTTTCAAATGGATCTGATAAACGGGCTTTGCCTGTCGCTCAGCACTGTGAGCGTGAGGGCAGGTAAAGGTTCCCTAAGTTAAGAGCACCTGTGTTAGTGGGGCTGGGCAACCACTAACAAATGGGCAAGTCCTGTGTAGTTTCAATCTTTTAGGAAGGCCTCTGTGGACGATGCTTGGAACACACAGAGATCATGGCCCCTTTCTTCTGTCTGCACCCTCTGCTCTGCTACACAAAGCCACCTGCTGTCTCCTGAAGTGCATCCATCCTTTCTGCTTCGGTACCTTTCTTGCTTTCCCCAGCGTAGAATGCCCTCTTCTGGCTGGAATTGTACATCTCACCCAGCCAGGATGCCTCCCTGCTCTGCCTTTCTCTATAGCCCACCGCAGCCCCTGCTGCATCACAGACCTGGTTATCCTCATCTTGCCTATCTCCCTAGACTCCTTGGTAACAGGGCTCTGACCCACTCATCTATGCGACATCCCTCATCCTTGACAACAGCTTAAATTTAAACACTGGTGCCTGGAAAGTATTTTCTGTAGGGTGATCCATGTATAGGTGACAAGGAAAATCACCCAATCTAGTGTTTGCTCAGCCTCACGCCATGCTGCCCCGCCCCCACCTCTTTTGAATCCTGTGTTTCAGAACTTGCCTTAGCAACAAGTATCTGCCTGACCAGACTGGGAGAGGTGAAGGAGCCCCAAAATCTCCCTAGAAGAGGAGCAAAGAAAATGGGTCACACCCAGGATTGTCAGACTGAGTGCTCTCTGCATCTGCCCAGAAAGAGCCTGCAGGAGTCTTCCTGGTCTTGGTCAGGAAGGTGGCGTACCCTCAGCCACTGCTCACACTGGGTGGTGTTGTGAGAGTTGGAACTGAAGCAGTTTCAAAAGTGCCAGCTGACTTGTGGACCTGCCCTCTCTGGGGAGGGCAGCTTCCTCTCCAGGCCACCTTCAGGTTTGATGGGGGAGGAACAGTGGGGAACTGTACACTAGGAGGCTGTTGAAGGCAGGATGCCAGGAGGGAGAAACTGTTGGTTTCAACGGGCCACAGAGGCTTTGCCCTATATTAAGCCCTATATTAAGGGAAATTTGGGAGGGAAGGAGGTGAAAACTTCTGGAGTCCCCCTGGATATCCAATGAGATCGATGTCATGGATGGCCAAAGATTGGGTCTGCCCCAGTCTCATAAACAGTTGGACAGTGGCTATTATTTAGACTCAATTTGCAAAGGGATTTGGTCTTAATGGTGTCTGGGCTTTAGTTTGGATAGATCCAAGGCTGGGTGTTAAGTTGGGAGAAGAAGTCAACTAAAGAAATCTAAACCTGGGGAGAACCAAGGCGCCACATTCCAAAGAGCTGGATGGCTGGAACTGGCTCCAGTGAACAAAAGAGAAGCTGAGTTGGTGCTCTATTCCCCCACCCCACCCCACCCCTTTTTTTCTGGGCAACTGGGTCTCCCTCTGTAGCCTAGCTACATTGGAATTTTCGATTCCCCTGCCTCAGCTCCTTGAGTGCTAGGCTTACAAATGTGTGCCATCACACCAGACCTCTATTTAATTAAAAAAAAATTTTTTTTTTTTTTTTTTTTTTTTTTTTTTTTTTTTACATTTACTTATGTAGTGTGGGTGTGATGAGGCTAGAAAATAACATGCAGGAGTCAGTTTTCTCCTTCCACCATTTGCTTCCCTGGAATTTAACTCAAGTTACCAGGCTAGGCGGCAGCAAGCGCCTTTTATAACAGCTGCGCCACCTCCCCGCCCCTGGGTTTTGTTTGCAAGTCAGGGAGAAGGGTCTGATCTAGGGGTTCCTGGTGGACACAAAGGCAGCTGTGATTCCAGAGCGACAAAAATCAGGGCCTAGGGATGGATCTGGATGCCACAATTAACTGTGGGTGTGGCCAGGCATGGCTCCTAGCGCGATGACAAAAGATGGTGCCTTTCAGAGCCATACCTGTGAGGATCACACTGGGGCTGACGGCTGGGGTGATCGTCAGCCACGGCTGGGGTGATCGCTCTGGGTGAGGTTGCAAACACCTGGCTGCTGATTAGCCATAGCATCAGGTGGGGCTAGTTTGGCTGGGCTCAGAGGAGCCAGTGGCCGCCTTTGTGTCTGAAGTCGGGCAGACAATGTTCCCAGCTGTGGCGTAAAGCAGGGGGCTTGGGGGAGGGGATACGTCGGGGTCTGTCTGTGAGCCGCTATCTGAGGACAATGCTAATCCCCGCTTTTGGGAGTGGCCAGATCCTGGGACACCAAAGGCCACCCACAGATGTGGACGCAGGTGGAGGGAATGGCGATCGATGCCAGGGTGGGTGCGTGTCGCGGGGGGCAGCTATCGGGTCTGCAGGGACAGGTTCGTGGGGGCCGTGGCCGGGCTGGGGGTGGAGGGCGCCCGCTCCCCCTGACCCTACCTTGCCGCGGGCGCAGCGCACTGAGCGCAGGGCGCCGAAGAAGATGGGCAGCAGCGCCATGAGCAGGAGGCTGCCGGGGG